TACATCCATACAAGGTGTGTAACATACATTGATGGATTTCTATCTTGGCCTAGTATGCAGGGCCTCAACCGTTTCGTATCATTGTACCTGCAAGTTCCTTGGTCAGGGGTGCTTGTCGGGGTTCTAAATAAATAATAAATATAAATGTTTATTTAGGTAAGGTACGTACGTCCAAGAGATTTTACAAAGAATAATGGATTTATAGATAGGGCTAGTACATACAATGCCTATAGCCACTATTACGCAAAGTGTTTCGGGCATTCGTTTTGGGCAAAGCGTTCTCGTTGGTTCACGAGTCTCTTCGTACCTTCCAATATTATTGGAACGTCTGTTGATTTTCGATGTGGTTTCCATCGGGTCTTTTGTCGGCCTTGTTGGTTCCCTTCCATCATCTGTTTTCTTTTGCTTCGTTTTCGCCTTGGTTTGTTTTCGCGTCGTCTCTACTTCCAGTTTCGGCGTTCTTTGTCTTTGTTCCGCACACCTTCCTGGTGTTTGTACGATGTCTGTACGTTGTGTGTACGATTTGTGTGTCCGCCTGGTGTACGAGCCACGCCTCCCGGTGGACGGGTGGTGCGTTTCGTACCTCGTGTGCTGGGGCTGCGGTGTGCGTTTTGTTTACGCGCGGTATGCTCGTGTGTTCGCGCTGTTTCTCGTGGTTTTCTACGGCTTCTTGCTCGTTTCTCTCTCCGGTCGTGGCCCTCTGGATGCTGAGGGTGTTTTGGATTTATGTCGGGGGATGTCACTTTGTTCTCCTTTTGTCCTGCTTCGTCTTCTGCAGGGCGCGCACCTCTGACCATATTCTCCTTCGACCTCGCATTTTATTCAGGTAAGGGTACATACTGTGCCTACTGCCTCGAGTATGCATGGTTTTCGGGCACACCTTTAGCGCTGCTCCTAGTAATTACCTAAGTGTAATTACCTAAGTGTAGTTACAGGATGAGAGCTACGCTCGTGGTGTCCTGTCTTCCCAGCATTGATAACATAGTATGATAACATAGTATGTTACTTGGCTCGCTTGTGTTGTGGCACGGTCGTGTGTCTGCTCTGCAGGTGAGGTTGTCTTGTCTGGCGCTTCTGTCGGCCTAGTGCTGGTTCTCACTTTTGGTGGTGTGCTTGCCTAGTAGTGCTTGCGGGGGTTGAGCTCTGGCTCTTGGGCCCCGCCTCTCCTGTCAGTTGACGGTTGCGCAGTTTCCTGAGCCTTCTGGGCTCTGTCTTCTTGTTTGCTCCTGTGGGTGGTGTCTGCCTCCTCCACATGGCATTTTGGTGCTTTTGGCTTCCTTTCCCTCTGCCATTACTCGGGTTCTTTTTAGTGTCCGGCTCCTTTGGGTGCTCACTACCTCCTGTGTCCCCTTGTGCGTACCTGCATTCGGACATAAGTACAATGGCCCTGCGGAGGGCCTCTTGGCTCGTGCGAGGCAGCTACTAATTTAAATTAAATTTTGCTCCGAGGGGCGAGTTTATTGGGCAGCGCCACTCATCTTGTGAGTAGACACACTGCCATAGCAGCATGTACAACACTCCCCGATAGGAGGAATACCTGCTGGATTGTTCATCCTGTCACTTGTACCCAGACACAGCTTGGATTTGCTTAACTGTCTCCGGTGAACAGCTCCTCAAACAAGAAGATTATCATACATTCTCACTCACTTACACTCACTTACCCCCAACCCGGCCTTGCACCAATAGTGGGGCCCCACCACCACGTTATGTGGTAATTGGTTCCGCACATCACCGGGCCTGTTACTGTGCCGCACGGGTGGCATGTGCCACTATCCCAGTTTCTATTCTTTCGTGGAGATTGGTCAATTAACACAAACACTAAGGGACTACTTATCTTTTGTTGCATATACAGTAGTTGTGGGTGATCGTTGGCGGGCAATGGTGCGGGTTGGGCGCTCTGAGCGTCGGTACGGTGTCTTGAATGTCTGTTCTAGACTACACTTGCTGGTAGACTAGTTATTATTCGCTACTCTGCTGGTTATATGCTTGGGCGCCGCCTCAATTCCCCACAGGTTGGCAGGACTGTTTGTTGGACGTACGGAACGGTTTGAGTTCTGTCGTTGGTACTTTGTGGAGCTTTGCTTCTCTCGTTAGGCTCATGCGTTTGGAGCGAGTATCTTCTTGGGATACTCTACTCCTTCCGCCACCCTTGTTCACTGTTCCATCCTTGTTTACTCTTCCCCGCTTGGCGGGATTGCATTGATGGCTCATGACTGGGGTGTTGGGTGTGGTGTTTGGTCACCTTGCGTGCGTCTTTAGTGTGTACTAAAGACGCACTTTTGTCCATCTTTTGTTCTTTGTTGCCCTGTGGGGCTCTGCCCCGCATTTCGGTGCTTTTGTTTTCGTTGTAGACCCCTGGGTCTGTTCCCTGTCTGGACACTTTCCTTGCCTATCTTCGGTGCCTGACTGCACCCTCACATAGCCGAGGGAGAGATCTTCTGAAGAACCTCAAGATAACCCTTCTGTCCGTAAGGTCCCTCAGGTATGTACGCACTCCTCTACACATTATGTGGTTGGTCGTGTGCATTACTTCACGGCCGCTCTTTGGGCCGTATTCGTGGTTTTCCTTACCTAATGCAGTTTTTCCTCCCCCATGCTACACTTTTTGTGTATCTGAGTCAGTGCTTCTTGATTATCCTGTTTGGTGCTCCGGTGGACCTCTGTCCATGTTCCACGTCCTGCTTTTGGACTTCTCCGGTGTTCCGTTTTGGTACCGAGTTCCTGCAATTTTGTGTGGTTTTCTGCAGGCTTCGGGTTGCGCTGTCTGTTGGGGGGGGGGTGTGGACTTTTCGGTCTGCCGCTCCTGCCTTCCTGGTTCCTTTTCTTGGAACCGGGTTTGCTGGGTTCCGGTCCTGGTTTCGTTTTTTCCTTGTTCCTTTTCCGGACCGGGTGTGTTTGTTTTCCTGCGGTTCTCGTCCTCGGTGGTTCTCCTCTGGGATGCCTCGGGGATGCGTGTATCATTCTTCCCTGCTGGAGCTGGTTCTGTTGCTCCTTTGGGTCGCGGGGTCGCTGTTTTTAGATTCGCGTTTTGCGCTTTCGATCGTGGTGTTCGTTTCTCGTCATTTTTGTCGGCACAGGTGGGTTCATTATTGGTCTCCCACCTGCACGTTTCATCTCGGGGGCGGTGTTTGGTTTTCCTATCGCTGCGAAGGGTCCTTCGGTCTTTGATAGGGTTGGTTTGTCTTCCCTTCGGGGTTGTTCTGGGATCGTTGTCTGGGATTGTCCTGTCACCTCATGTTGGGTGGGGCTGGCAGAGCCGCTCCTGCTTATGTTCAGTGTTGCGGTTCCTTCTGCTCCATTCCACTTGCTGTCCTGGGCATCGTTCTTCTCTGGCCTGCTCTTGAGTTTTGGGGCCGTCCTGGTCGTTGGCCTGGGTGGTCTTTTTCTTCTCGTTTTGGTCTTTGTTTTGTCTCTGGTTTTGGTTGTTCAGTTAGGACGTGTGGTATTCACCTCCCGGTTTCTTCCCTGTTTTACTTATCTTTTGGTAAGGTAGTTCCGGGGAGCTGACGGGGCTCCCCCCAGAAAACCAGCGTTGAATGTAATGAAACGGCATTTTCTGGGCGAGTCCCGGAGGCTCCCCGGCATCCCTCGCTCCCTCCGGTCGGCGGCGTTTTCGCGTCTTTTGACATCCAGGCTAAGAACTGCCAGTTGGATCGCCGGCATGGAGGGTCTGGGGCTCCCCCTTCCCCCTCTCAGGGAGGGGGGGGGAGGTTGCGCAGACAGTGGCACGGCGACATGATGACGTCATGCTAGTTTGATAATTTTGTTTGGGGAGTTCTGTCCACTCGTTCGGCTTTCGGTAGCAATAATTTCACCAGAATAGGGGTTTGTTTTGGGGCGCCTACCTTTCTGGGTGCCTGTCCCGGTTGATGGCAGACATAGAATGCTTCCAATCACAAGGGGGTTTCTATAGGCCATTGCTCCTCGTGCCTCTCTGAGGGGGCCAGGTTCTGGCTTGTGGTCCCCGGTAGGCAAGAACTCCTAGCACTTTGATGCCAGAAAGTTATACATATCCATTCAGCCTGGATAGCTCCAGGGAGCCTCCGGGACTCACCCAGAAAATGGCGTTTCATTACATTCAACGCTGGTTTTTTTGACTCACTGACTTCCTTGTTGCCTTTCTTATGGTGGTACAAATAAATAAATAAGTGCCACTGCTCCCTGTGCTGCCTCTGTGAAGTAGGTTCAGGTTTTGGCGCTGGTACCTAGTAGCCTGTAGAACTCCGAGGCTTACTTGCTTGATGGGGTTCTGAGAGTTTTTCTACTCCCCAAGCCCAGCCCAAGGCCAGGCTTGACGTGTGAGAGCATGGTCCAACAGGCTGTTGCTTGGAGCGGCCCGCAGGCCCACATATCCACCATAGTATGGTGGATATGTGGCCCTTCACCTTCACTAGAAGGTGAAGGGACGACGACATTTCGGTCCATCCTGGATCATTCTCAAGTCGATTGTCTTGAGAACTTAAGAACACAATCAACTTGAGAATGGTCCAGGATGGACCGAAACGTCGTCGTCATTTTACCTTCTAGTGTGTGGTCTGGTAAACATACTTCAGCCACGTTATTGTGACTCATCGCCTGCATCCACCACAGCTTGGTTGGTCCGGGCTGATGCGACCTAGTAGGTGGTACACTTCAATATACAAAACAAGGAAACACCGGGGCTAAACCAGAAATTGAATTTTCATTACATTCAATGCTGATATTTTTTTCCAGTATTTTCATAGTAATTTTTGTCATTAACTGAACTGGCAACTGTTTAACTACATTGAATTGAAGCAGTACATATGATTCTTTGACAAATGTTCACAAGTCTTTAGCACTTGTTTTGCAAATGGTTGGAATTTTCTGCATGTAGCTACCACCTCATGACTGGCTAAGTGGGAATTTGACATCCAGGATTGAGGTTGAGATAGAAAGAAGTTAATGAGCGTTCTTAGCTGATGTATCATCATAGCCAGGCTGGAAAGTTTTTAATTTGATTATTTCTTTTTAATTAACAGAGTCCCTGGAATCAGTATTTTGAAGATTCAGAATTGAAGAAACTTATCAGGCAAGATGTAATAAGGACATTTCCTGAAGTTGAATTTTTTCAATCTCCCCGCATTAGAGACCTCATGGTCACTGTTCTCTTTTGCTATGCACGACAGCATCCAGATATAGGCTACAGACAAGTAAGTGAAAGTATCTTTTTGTATTTTTGAAATAATGAAACATCAAAATGTTTTATGATAATTGGGGGGGGGGGGAAGCCCCATTGGCTCCCCGGAGCTATCCAGGCTGAATGGATATGTATAACTTTGTGGCATCAGTCAATGTGCATGGAGTTTTTGCCTACCGGAGACCACGAGCCAGAACCTGGCCCCCTCAGAGAGGCACGAGGAGCAATGGCCTATAGAATCCCCATGCGGTTGGGAACATTCTATGTCTGCCATCGACCGGGTCTGGCAGTCAGAAAGATAGGCGCCCCAAAACAAACCCCTATTCTGGTGAAACTATTGCTACCGAAATTCGAACAAGTGGACAGAACTCCTCAAACGAAAATTAAGCAAGTGAGCATGACATCACCATATTGCCGCACTGCTGTCTGCGCAACCACCCATCCCTTCCTGTGAGGGAAGAAGGTGGGAGCCCCAGATCACTCGCCGGCGATCCAACCACCAGTTCTTGGCTGATGCAATACTGGAATAGTCTTGTGCCTCTGGCTCCTGCTTATTGTTTCACTTCTGTGCCTTGTGACGTGGGCTGTCTCTACAGGTGGTGTGTGAGTTAAGAGTAATATTCCACGGTACTCGGGCTGCATGCGCCTAGGGGGTTCCCTTTCCTAGGTGCCCGGTAAGTACTGCCCTTGAGACTTGGGACCTTCTTCCACAAGACACCTTGGGATCTACCTCTGCTGTGCCTTTTACTGCTCGGTACTTGGCCGCCCTTGGGGTCAGCTGGGATTTAGTTGCCTCTTGTTTGTCTCTGGGTTGGGGGGTAGTTTTCGTCACTGGTAGGGGCACAGGGTACTGCAAAGCTAGTTATCACCACTTATAGTGGCCGGCTCTGTTCTGCCTGGGTACGTTGTCCTCTTGCAGGGGTTTTCTTTTGTTTTTTGTTTCTGCCTGGTGGGGGTCTGTCTTTGTTGTCTCCCCTAGCTGTTGTTGGGGTATATATTATTCTCCTCTGTGTTTTGGTGGTATCCCCCGCTAGGCCCCCATGAGTGGACACGTCCCAGGGATTCAGCTTTTAACTGTTTGTTTGGTAGACTTGGGCGCATTTTTGCAGTACCCTGCCTAGGCTTTCCTTAGCATGTAATCAAGGCTAAGGGCCCTGGGAAACCCCGCGGGGGTCTCCGTGGTTCAATGGATGTGACCCTTGAGTCCCCTCTCGCTTTATGCAAGCTTGAAGGTTGCTCTGTTCCCTTGTCTCAGGGTGACACTCACTGGTTGTGCCTCCACCATGCTTCCTGTTGGGTCAGTGATTCTTTTGACCCGGAGTCGTGTGACATTTGTTGCTTGTAGGTGCTCCAGTTCACCCATGCTACTGATCATGATATGTGGGTGCAGGCGGCTGCTGCATTGCATGTTAGGTTGCTGCAACGTGCTCGGTTGGTTGCTTCCCTGAATGCCCTGAGACTGCCCCGTTTTGGTTATAGGGACCCGGACTTAGGGGTGGGAGTCACTTCAACTTTGGTTCCATCCGCCCCTCCTAGTCCTTTCCCTTCTGTTGTGCATCCGGTTCCTTCCCCCTTGCTTTCGGCTCTGAAATGTCTGAGGGTTTTGGAGTCGGGGCAGGGTCTAGTTGGTGTTGAGACTCAGGCATTCTCGGGGGAGTCCCCTTCCGGAGTTGTGGCGGAGGCATTCGGGCCTGGTCTTCCAACTGGAGCTTCTGGGTCTGATCATTGGGCCCCCCTTCGTTTCTGCTTTTTCAGCAGCTCCCACTCTTTGGAGGCGGGAAGGGGTTTGGAGGACGGCTTGGCTCCGGTGTCATTGGGGTGAGGTTCCTGGGGCGGGGGAGAGGTTGACTTGGGGGCCTTGGGCCCTGTTGGACTTCCCCCTGGGTTTTTCTACCCTCGGAGCGGGACTTAGTCTTACAAGGAGAGGGGTTCTCTTTCGCTCCCTCCTCGTACAACTTTGTTTTGGCGTCTATCCCTCCTGGGTTAGGTTCCATGATCCCAGCCCATCCTCTGAATAGACAGTATGTTTTAATGCTAAATGTAACAAATACAATCCTGACTATTGGCATAGTACATAAATACACTTAATCGCCAGCATCACACCAAAATATTGTGAATATTAGAGGTTTACTTGTAAAGCTGTATAGAAAACCACGACCTAATCTAACCTTGGGAGTGTTGGAGGACAAGCATGTAAATAGTTTCAGCCTCGGGGCTTTGTGTTAGTTGCTGCGTTGCCAGCTTTCTCTTCGAGGTTTTTCAGGGTTCAGTGCCTTAGCGTCTACCCGAGCCCTCGGTCGATGTTTTCACGGACGTGTCGACTCTTGACTGGGGCTTTGTGACCAGTGCTCACCAGGCTGGCCAGGGTTGGTGGGGTCTGTCCTTCCGTCGGGCTCACAGCACGGTGCGGGAGTTCACAGCTGTGTGGATGTCATTCCAAAAGGTTTGGGATGCTCACGGATCGACGATCAAACTACATTTGGACTGTTTCCGGTGGTTCATTACCTGAATGGGGGTGGGGTTCCATGCTATCCTTGGCTCTTTGGGGCTGGTCGCTTCGGGTGACTCATCTGCTGAGTTCTCAGGGTTTAGCTCTCCTGGCAATTCACGTTCGGGGGGTTATCTTGAGGTTATCTTGAGATGATTTTGGGGCTTTCAGTGTCCCTGCGATCCGGTCCTCGACCAGGCTTCCACCCCCAGGAAGCAGCCCGTGACAGCTGACTAACACCCAGGTACCTATTTTACTGCTAGGTAACAGGGGCATAGGGTGAAAGAAACTCTGCCCATTGTTTCTCACCGGCGCCTGGGATCGAGCCCAGGACCACAGGATCACAAGTCCAGTGTGCTGTCCACTCGGCCGACCGGTTCCCCGGTTGACTCCCGGGGTGTCTAATGTCCTGGCAGATGGCCTGTCCTAGTTCATTCCCCTGTCCATGGAAAGGACGGTCGAAACCAACTCGTTCAGTTGGCCCTGCCAGACGTTCGGTCCTTCAGAAGTGGATCTCTTCGCGTCGGCGTGGTCGAGGCATCTCCTGGTATACGTGACGCCCTTCCCCGACTGCGAGGCCGTCAGGGTCGACGCTTTCCCGCTGGACTGGGCGAGGTGGGGTTACCTGTACTTGTTCCCCCCGGTTCAGTTGTTGCTCCAGGTCCTTTCTCGCCTAGAGACTTTCCAGGGGAGAGGTGTCCTTCTTGCACCTTGGTGGCCTGTTCAGCTTTGGTTTCAGGTGCTGGTTGATCGGTGTTTGAACACGAGGGGTCTTCCCACAGCTCCTGCTCTTTCAGCAAATCGGTCCAGCCCAGTACAAGGCTGGTTCGTTCTTCTCCTCGAGTCTTCGCATCTGGAGTTTCTGACTCGAGTCTATCATCACTTGTATGGAGTGCAGGTGGGTTCGTTGTGGGTCTCCCTCCTGTGTGCTTCGTCTCGGCAGCAGAATGAAGTTTCCTGGCGGTCTTTCCGGTTTTTCCTATCACTGCGTAGGTATACTTCGGTCTCTTGATAGGGTTGTTTTGTCCTTCCTTTCGTGGTTGTTCCAGGACTGTCATCTTATGCTGAATTCTGGCGTCTCGTATTGTGCGGCGCTGGCGGAGCCTCTTCAGCTTGCTTTCAGGGTTGATGTTACTTCTGTCCCATTCCACAAGCTGTTTCATGCTTTGTTTCACCTCTGGCCTGTTCATGCACCTCCTGAGCCGTCCTGGTCTTTGGACCGGGTGCTCTTTTTTTCTCTCTTCTCTTCGGTTTGTTGTGGCCCCTTCAGTTCAGGATTTTTTCCAAGGTTCTTTTCCTGTTGGCATTGGCCTCTAGGGGCAGGTCGGGAAGCTTCATGCTCTCCTCCGGTGCAGCGGTTTCTGCTCCTTCGGTCCTGGTGGTAGGTTAGTTCTGTTGCAGCCGTCTCCTTCTTTTCTGGTGAAGAATGAGACTGCTGCTTTCCGGAGGGGTCCTTGGCTTGTTTATGCTTGGTTAGTCAGGCTGGGGTGTAAGATGTATTGTGTCCGGTTGCGGCCCTTTGCCGTTATTTGTGCGCCACAGCTTCGGTGGCCGGGGGGATGCGATTTGGGTTGATGCAGTTTTCCTTCTTCCCTGTTCCCGAGCTCGTGTCTCTCATGTCGTCCGCAGGGTTATCAAGTCTATCCAGCCTGCGGTCTATCCCTGTGCCCACGACGTTCGTAAATTTGCTGCTTTGGCTGTTGTCTTTGGCAACATGTCATGGGTTGACATTTGGGCACGGGGTTTTTGGAGGTCGAACAGGGTCCTAGGCACTTGCTGCCTTGTAAATGTCCCTGGACCTGGTAGGGCCTGCATTGCATTGGGTCAGCGGTTGCAGCCAGTTGTCTCGACTTCGTGTTGAGGCGTGAGGGCTGACCGTCTCCTGGGTAAGTCCATGTTTTTCCTTGTCTTTGGGTAGTTAGCTCTGGGGAGCATTACATTCAATTACAGCATTGAATGAATGTAATGAAACGCCATTATCTTGGTGAGTCCCGGAGGCTCCCTGGCATCCCTCCTCCCCCCCTGGTAGGTGGTGTTTTTCATGTGTTTCGACATCCAGCTTAAGAACTGGTGGTTGGATTTCCGACACGTGGGTCTGGGGCCCCCTTTCCCTTCCCGGGAAGGGGGAGGGGTTGCACAGACAGCGGCGTGGCAATATGATGACGTCATGCTCATTTGCTAATTTTCGTTTGAGGAGTTCTGTCCACTTCTTCGACTTTCGGTAGCAATAATTTCTCCAGAATAGGGGTGAGTTTTGGGGCGCCTACCTTTTTGGGTGCCAGACCCGGTCGATGGCAGACATAGAATGCTCCCAACCACATGGGGGTTCTATAGGCCATTGCTCCTCATGCCTGTCTGAGGGGGGCCAGGTTCTGGCTCGTGGTCCCCGGTAGACAAGAACTCCATGTACATTGACTGATGCCACAAAGTTATACAGATCCATTCAGCCTGGATAGCTCCAGGAAGCCTCCGGGATTTGCCCAGAAAATGGCGTTATATTACATTCAACGCTGGTTTTTTCTATT